CGACTGCGGGGAGGGCCCCAGTGTGCTTTTTACAGCAAAATGTCAGATTGTATTTAGGCAGCTACTCTAATGTGCTGTAATAGTGGGAAGTGGCCATAGATAAAATGCAAATGAATAGGTGTGGCTTTATTTTATTTTTATTGCAGTTCTATTTGTGATGTATTAAAATTGGAGTTCATATGATTTTCACATGCTTTTCCTCATAACCATTTAAAAATGTAGAAACTGTTCTTAGCTTGTGGACCATTCAAAAAACAGGTTCTACATTTGGTCCATAGGCCATACTTTGCCAAGTCCTGTTTATAGCAATAGTAAATTTTGTTTCACTTGCTTTCCTGTACTGTTTAAGTAACTTATAGAATTATAGTATAATATAAAAGTAGCAAAACTTTGAAATTTAAGACCCTGTTATCAGTAAATTACTTCGCCATTTTAAACCTCCATCTTCTTATATGTAAAATGAGTATAATGTAAGTATTGTAAATTATAGTTCCTTATTATACATAACAGAACACCCTCTAGCTGTTGTAATCAGAGTAGGGAATTATTACAGAATATCAGGTAGTTCACAGTCATTGGGGGAGCGCTAGAGATATAGATACAGATTTAAATCCAAGCTCCTGGGAACATTACACAAAACCTTACTGCATAACTGGGTTTGGCAAAGCCACTCATACGAAGTCCTAAATACCAGGTTCTCAATTTGATGGCAGATGTCACTGCTGTTGCCCTGGTATTGTTTCATTGACAGGCATTCTGCATTGCAACCCCTGGGAAATGGCTAGTCTTGGCTGCTACCTTCATCAAAAGCCAAACGTATTTGCTGCCTCGGGCATGAACAAAAATTGGAAGCTCTACTCATCGCTTACTTCAAAATCAAAGTCTCTTGGTGGTTTATTTTTGAGATCGAATAATATGCCATGTCTTTAGCTATAAGGGAGACTGAGAATTTTAACTTTTAATTTCTGTGTTAGGTGTTAGAGCTAAAAATGTGGAAACATCCACAAATTAAAGTCACTTGAAACTTTTAGTAGTGATGAATATAAGATTTCTATGGCAATAGACACTTACCTGTTCCTCATCAGCATATGTACCTCCTTTTGGACTAAAACTCCAAACATCTGTAACAAGCTCTCCCCTAAAACCTATAATTTATGAAAGGTTTGTCTTCTAAGTTGGCATGTGAGTTGGTTCTTTAGAACCTAAAACTTTTTCTCCATTCAAAACAAAAAGATTATAAATAATGGATGTATTTCCAAGGTAGCCAGAATAAGTTCACTTACAAAAGTTAAGTAGCTATTTTACAGAAATAAGTTTCTTTATGATGGAAAGATCCCGATTGTTATCTTGCTGCCAGGTGGCTGTTTGTCCCCTGTGACATATGGCACTGTTTGACATGGAGGTGAGGGGAACTCAGGAGTTAATTGTTGCTTATGGTAGAGTGTACTATTCAAAAATAGTTGCTTCTCTTTTTTATTGGATTTCTCCCCACAGGACTCACACCAATGGGAGCAGTACTTCCTTGTTCCCTGTTGACATCAGGCTTGACCATGGGGCTTGCTTTAGCCAATTAAAGATGAGTAGAAGTGATACTCGTCATGTCTAAACAGAAGCTTTAAGAGCTGTTGTATGGAGTGATTGTTTGCTCATTTTCCTCTGCTCCAAGAAAAACTGATGCCAGATACAGGCTGTTTCTTTTGCCAGGTTCTAGAATTAAGATGTCTGCAGCCATCCCAAAGCTGACATAACAAACATGAGAAATGCATTTTTGCTCTTGTAGAATATTGGTTCTCAAAGCACTGCCTATTGAAGCCAAGACCCTTTCAGGGTTAAAACTAATAATCTTAAGTGCTTTATTCACGGTACTTCGAAGGCAGTGCTTTGGAAAAGTTGTTGGCTAGGAAATTCAGTGCAGTTGTTTCAGACTGTGTTCTTCACCACCACCACCACATATTTATAGTAAACAGAGTTTTACCTAAGAGTGTCCTTGATGAAGCAGTAGAAATTATTAATTAAAAAAAGTCTTGATCTGAATATGCATCTTTTTAATGGTCTTTGTGATGAAAATGGGAAGTTTCCAGAAGACATTCTGAATGCAGAAGTATGATGGTTTTCATAGGGAAAACACTTTTGCAGTTACTTGAGCTACGAACTGAACTAACCTTTTTTCATTTTCACTTGAAATCGTGACTTACTGTGGTTCTGGCATGAGCATTTGACATATATTTTCTCAAATGAACAAAGTAAGTCTGTAAGGAAAACAATTGACAGTATTTATTGCCAATGATAATATCTGAGATTTCAAGTGAAAATGAGAATTTTAGAAAATTATCAGCTACTGTGAGCTTGACAGTTTCCCAATATTTAGGCTTTTTCTGATGATTTTGGCTATAGAAGTAAATGTACTTTTTAAATGTTTGATGTTCTGTCATGAAATGCTTAGACTTGGGAAGTATGCCTAACTCAGTGGACTGATTATTTTCTAGTTGATGTGTGAGATTATAAAATCGTGCATAGGTCCATTCAGTAATGTAGCAGTATGAAAAGTTCTTGTATAGATAGGCTTAAATTTTCACATTACACTGAGCCTTTAAAAGACTACTGAGTTTTGGTTACAGTATCAAAGAATAATAGTCACCGCAATCTCAAAAGACTCTGAAATATTCCTTTTGTAACTACTTATCTGTTTGAAGTTGGGTGTATTTTTTTCCCCATAAATTTCAACCACAGCAGTATCTTGCAGCTGAGTGGATGCAGAAGCAGATAGGAGAAGACACTGTCTTCTGCTAAGGTGCATCTTAAAGAGATAGGCAAAAATATAAAATGCTCTTAGAATTTTTTTTTTTTGGAAAATGCCTTTAAAATTTTTAAATTTATTTTAACATGTAATTGGTTATTTAAAAGTGAATTAATATACATTTAAAATATTTATTTTAATTTTTAATATAATGCAACTGTAACTAAAAAGAAAGTCTTTTGAGATTTTTAAGAGCAAGATCATTTTGGATTTTTAAGAGAGTAAAGAGGTCATAAGATAAAAATGTTTAAGAATCACTGTTATGAGTCTCTGTTGTAAAACATTATGAATTTAGGAGTGTTTGTTACCACATCATAACCTAGAGAAAGGTGGTGAATTGTTGCTGTAGCTAAGTCAGTCTTGGTGAAAAGAACAAGTTGGTACAACTTGTTGGACCTTTGTTTTGCTGTCATGGCTGCTTTCTGTGAGGACTTTGATTAGACATTGAGTTTGCTGGGGAAAGATGTTGAGACTGATTTCTAAAGAATGGATGAGCTTGCTTCACGTGACTGCACATGTTTATAGGGTTCTCCATAGTTGAGACTTTTTAGTTTTTTGAGTTGGAGTCTCACTCCATCACCCAGGCTGGGCCACAGTGGCACAGTGGCACGCTCATGGCTTCTGAGCTTCAGCGATCCTTCCACCTCAGCCTTCCAGGGAGCCAGAACTACAGGCATGCATTACCACACCTGGCTATGTTTTTTTTTTTTAAATTTATTATAGAGATGAGGTCTTGCTAAGGTGCCGGGGCTGGTCTCGGACCCGTGGGCTCAGGCAGTCCACTCGCTGTGGCCTCCCCAAATGCTGGGATTATAGGCTTGAGACAGCATGCCTGGCCATTTGGGACTTTTTGATGAGCCTTCACATGGGGCAAAAATATTTTCACAGTCAACTCTGATAGGTCCATATACATATATCTTCTTCAGATTCATTTCACATGCTTGTTTCTTTTGAGGACCTGACCTGGAAATCTAGCCACATTTTTACATTAGCTCCCAGTTAAGAGAGCACCTTACTCTCTTTCTTTCTTGACAGTGTGAACTGTGAGGTGTACTGCCCAGTGGACTGATTTCTTTTTTTTAAGTTTTCTTTAAGAGCTACTCTAGTAGGGCAGTGTTGTTGAAATATCAATTTCTGGATGGTACCATCACATAGTGCAGAGTCATCTGTAATCCAGGCTCATATTTTCTACCTTCTAATCAAATTTTAGAGAATACCCTATGTAGTTATAGGCCTTGTTCAAGGAAGACGTAGCATTGCACCAGGAACAGACATACTGAAAGTGTGAACCATCTGCTCATGCTTCACCACCAACCTCCATGCTGTCCTGTGTATACCATTAATGTGTGATGATGGGCTGTTTCTGACATATCAACATTAACTTGATGGATCAATTTTGCTTTCATAGTCAATTGTGGTCAGGTCTTTGTTCTCTACTAGTACAACTATAGAAAGTACAATAACTTTTTTCAAAAAAGAATCTTGAATTAGCAAAGAAGGCATAATTATGCCCTAAAAACTCTTAGGGATCTCTACTGTCATTCTTCTAGAGGGGTTTGCTAATGACTGATTATGGCACTGGTCTGTTGTTACTTGGAGCACCACTACAGTCATAGATTCGTTATGATCCAGGGACAGAACTAGCTGTACTGCAGCTTGGATTGGCAGGAGGATTTTCTCTTCCTCTCATCCACACTTGTCACTGTAGGATTTCAGATCACTCAGTGAATGGAAAGTCCTTACGAGACCTTTTGGCCTCATGTTGTCGATGTTGCAGACCAGCATGTGTCCACTGGTGTGGTGAAATAATTAAGGTCATAGGAAAGCTAGAAATTGACTTAAGTTGAGGTAATATAGTGACTATATACTGATGTCCAAGCCAAGTGAAAGCAAATTGCTTCTGGAGTTGTTTTTAGAAGTACAGAAACCATTTGTCAGAATTGTAGCCACATACCATGTGCTGCACTAAACAGATCCAGTTTGAGTCTACATTATCCAGACAGTTGTATTAAGTAGATACCTGCTAGGAATTTCAGCTCTTGCTTCTCTCAATTACTTGGTAGTTCTTCTAGGAATGCAGTTTTAATTTTGTTTGGAGGGAGAACTCCAGGGGTCTCCATCTGACATTTTCTGTTATTCCACCTGTCAGGGCATCAGTGTGGAAATTT